TGGCGCAACACCACCTGCACCACCTGAACAGACAGCGATGGCGATGACGTGCAGAAAGTCATCCCGCAACGTCGCCAAGACAACACCGTTTCAGGATTGCAGCTGCTCGAGCTTCACACCGCAACCTCGAAGGCGCCACGTGTCATTGAGCCGCGAAACCCGCGCGAAGCCCTCACTGGACCACACAGCAAAGAATGGCGTGAGGCGATGGACGTGGAAATTAAGGTGCTCGAATCCCGAGACACCTGGGTGTTGGTCGACCGTGCGGCAATCAAAGGCGCAAGAGTTCTTTCGGGCAAATGGGTCTTCCGCGTGAAGACCGCAGCGGATGGAACGATCGAGCGCTTCAAGGCGCGTTGGGTGGTACGCGGATACGACTAGAGGCACGGCATCGACTTCGACCAGACGTTCGCCCCAGTCAGCCGCCACACCTCCGTCCGAATCCTGCTCGCCATCGCAGCCGCAAGGCACCTACCTCTCCGCCAGATTGACGTCAAGAATGCGTTCCTGTACGCATTAGTAGACGCCGTAATCTACGTGGAGCAGCCACATACATACGGCGAAGGGGACTCGCGCGTATGTCAACAGCGCAAGTCCCTTTACGAGATCAAGCAGGCACCGAGGCTGTGGCAGTAGTATCTGAACAACATTTTGCTTGAAAGTGGGTTCAAGGAGATGCCACCCGATCCTGGGATGTATCGCTGCGATTTCCGCGGCGAATACATTCTCCTCACGGCCTAAGTCGTCGACTTGGTTTACACAGGATCAAGCAACGAGTTGCTCAAGCACTTCGAGAAGGCACTAGCGGGGCGCGTCGACATCACATGCAACTATGAAGTGAAGTAGTTCTTAGGCCTCAACATCTCCTACGCACCCTAGGCCATTCACCTCTCAGCGGCCAAGTACGCAGAGGAGTTAGGGAAGCGGTTCAACATTTCACCTGCACCGCTCTCCACTCCCTGTCGAACTCCGTGACCGAACCACAAACCTGACAACAAAGCCCTATCCCCTGCTGGAGTTCAGACCTACCAGCAGCAACTGGGATGCCTGCTCTTTGCCTCTGTCACCTGCAGGCCAGACCTCTCCTACATTGCAAGTCAGCTGGCCCAGTACTCACGCAAACCAACGGCTGAGAATCTTCTGCACCTGCAGCGGGGGTTACGTGTTACCTTCCCCTCTGAAGCCAACGCCCATCCGGGTACGGCTGTCCCCGAAATGGGGCACGCGCTTCTGGTGATTGATGGGGGTTTTAGCAACTAAATGCACAGCCGGTATAATGCTGCTTACCGAAGCGCCTTCTCCCTACGGGGGGTTGGTTTCCTCCGGGGATCTTCTTAAAGCCCCCCCCCAAAAAAAAAAAAAAAAAAAAAAAAAAAAAAAAAAAAAAACTGGACCTGCAGCGCGCCCTGGAGTTCTTCGTTTCAACGCCCAAGATTGGGCTGTGCTACTCAACTGTACCAACCCCATCCTTCAACCTCATCGGCTACGTGGACGCCGATCACGCAGCACATCCCGACAATCGTCAGTCGAGGACTGGCTTCCTGTTCCGACTCGAACCAACGGGACCAATCTCCTGGAACTCGCAGAAGCAGGAGCTGGTTGCCTTGTCGTCAGTCGAAGCGGAATTCATCGCAGCAACCGCAGTAGTTCGCGAAGGCCTCTGCCTACAGGAACTTCTGCAGGAGGCGAAAATCCCAGATTCGCCCACCTTTCGCCTTCACTGCGACTTGTCAGAATAATATATAACTCTATATATTGTTTTGTAACTGCCTGTAGTGTAGAATACTGTAGTCATATAACTTTCTGTTTGGTGGTGCACCTTTCTTCATTCTTGCCTATTTGTACTGCTCGCTCTATAGTGAACCCCCTTTTTGGCTTGCACTTTCCTCTCGCTACTTTCCTAAGCCTCAACCCTAGGCTTTACATAGCCTCCTATTCTCAACATGGTATCAGAGCGGTTCCTATCCTAGGACCTGTATTTTTTTTCCATGAGCCCACCGCATATCGCTCCTGCCATGGCGCTCGTCGCGGCCCCAGCTGTGCCCGTTCAGCCGCTCGTCGTGAAGGTTGCGAAGTCGAGCGTGGCGAGCTTAGTGCTGTTCGTCGCGGCCCCAGTCGGCGGCCCCATCGCCTGCCCATCGCGCCCTCCTGCAGCCTCGTCACGCCCTGTCGCGGCCCCGAGCGTCTGCACTGACGGTCGCTTTGGGGGGAGACGGCAGGTGTGGCGGCCAAGCTGCTTCAGTCGCCAAACGCGCCCCTTGTCCCGCCCTCCCGTCGAACATGCGGCTGCTACGACTGCAGCTGCCACGCAAGCGACGGCGAGCTGTGCTGTGGCGCTTGTCGCGGCACCTGTTGCACCCACCCGTTTCTCCCCCCCCCCCTACCCGCGATCTCGCGAATGCCAACCACGCCCGATGCCGTGTCTTCTGCTGTGGACGAAGGTGTGGCGAGGGGGGGGGGGGGGGGGGGGGGGGGGGGGGAAGGAGGAGGCGCAAGGGTGGTTGACGCCACTCTGTTCGCTGCTGCGCCGCACCGCTACGCCGCCACACGCCGTCCCTTCTCTCTCCCCGCTGCACGTGCAGCAGTGGGGGGGGGAGGGTTTGGGGTGGCGGGTGTGAGCAAGAAGTTGTCGCCCCTCCTCTCTCTCTCACTGTCGCACGTGCCGCTGTGGGGGGGAGAGTGAGGGGACGTCGGAAGTCAGCCGGTCATCTGCTGCTGTCGCCCGTTGCTGCCGTGGCACCTCCAGCTGCCGCCCCTGCTACCACCTGCCTTTGCTACCTTTGCTTCTGCTACCTGCTGCTGGGGCCTGCAGGTGCTGCCGTCGAGCCGCTGCTGTCCTGCTGCATGTTGCAGCCACAGAGGCGGCTCCTCAGGCGACCTGCCGCCCCAACACCTGCTACTCTTTCTACCTTGGTCAAGGGGTTGGTACAGCTGGATCTGCCATCACTGCATCAGTTGCCACTGCACTTGCCTGTTGCTGTGATTTCCGCTGCGGCCTGTCTGGTGTACCCCATTATGGGGGCGTTGACTGCACATTCTTCCCTACAGGCACTTATGGGGGCGTGTCAGAATAATATATAACTCTATATATTGTTTTGTAACTGCCTGTAGTGTAGAATACTGTAGTCATATAACTTTGTGTTTGGTGGTGCACCTTTCTTCATTCTTGCCTATTTGTACTGTTCGCTCGATAGTGAACCCCCTTTTTGGCTTGCACTTTCCTCTCGCTACTTTCCTAAGCCTCAACCCTAGGCTTTACATAGCCTCCTATTCTCAACACGACTACCAGAGCGCAATTCGCATCGCAAACAAACCTGGTTTTGTCAACCGCACCAAGCACATTGCGCTGCAGTATTTCTTCGTGAAGGACGAAGTGGACAAGGGCAAGTTAGACTTGACCTATTTCTCGACCGGTGACATGGCAGCAGACTTTCTCACAAAGCGACTACCACGCCAGTAGTATCAACACTGCTCCGAACTCAGCGGCGTGGTCAAGCAGGTCAAGTCGAGCTACGGCCAGGAGTGAAGGGGGGTGTTACGAATAAGCGATGAATGAAGATTATAGTGCACTCCCGACCGCAGCTAAAGAAGCATGCAGTATCGAGAACGAATGTGAAAAGTCGGAATTGACTCGAAACGCCAGACGATTGAGATGCATCTGGACCGTCGGAGCAGATGGCATCGGGCAGCTGAAGGCAGAAGGATTCTTGCGGGAATAGTTTCGTAACTGTACGCACCGCACGGTTGGGAAAGAATTTAAATGAGGGAATGTACCCCTTAGAGTACATGGCTAGCTAGGCCGATTCGTATTCCCCTGTACTCTTATTTATATCGTTGTATTTGCATGTTTTATTATCTCAAGCATTTTACATTCACTCTGCTATTGAGGTCAAGGGCCCACCACCTCTAGAGTAGAAGCGTGCGAACCTTCCTGAGGTGATCCTGGCTACGATCTATTTATGATCGCAGCAAAACATATAGACGGTAACGCGGTGCGTGCGAGCTAGCTAGTGCTACACTGGAAGCAAGGCTCGGGCTAGTCCCGAAGCGTAGGCCAGCACGGCCGGTCCAGCAGTGCGAGGTTTGGTAAAATGGTGCGCGCGAAGTGGGCGAAGCCCCATTAGCAGTAACGGGCGAACAGCGGCTGCTGCTGTACGCGGTGTTGCAGGTGTCAGAATATTATCTTATTGTTCTAGCCTGTAGTGGGGTGCTCTATAGCGAGTACAACCCTTCTAGGGTTTGCTATTTGTATCCTCATTCTTGCTAGTTCAATCCTCTTTTCTTCTTCTAATTTTGACAGCAGGGTGCGCAAAGGAATATCGAGAAAATTCCTTACAGGATTGCAGGGCTGATTCATGAAAATGATAATTTTTAAACACACGAAGTGTTTTTTTTAAATTACGTATTTCGAAAGCGCAGCTGCTTGTAACGCTGATTTGGCATCGTCGAAGCGCGCTAAACGCCCTTCTCCAACTACAAATCGTGGGTTGGAGCTCATTTCCCTCCACCCACGTCTCTCATTTTCCAACGGCTCATGCAACTCTCCCACCCCCCACCCCGACACCGATGACATCCGTGACGCCGCTGGAACAGGAGGATAGACAGTTAGTCCTATGATTGGTAGTACGCACGCATAATGCGGGATAGCTAGTACAATGCTATGTTAGGTAGTCTTAGGTCATGTACTAGCATCTATATTGTCTAGCTCGAGGTGCCTGTTGTAATTTGCCAGTTGAAATGAGAACGATGCCAAATGATCAGTATAAGAAAGCAAGCTTTCTAAATATAACTACCACCATAAAAATGATGAGCGTTACAGTTGTTGCACAACTGCTAGTTTATCAGCATAAAGACTTGAAGCCTTTGTAGTTGATTAGCATTTTTAATTATATCATCGCAAAGTAGTGCTGCTCGGGGACGGAGCATGGTTCTTGCTAATATTCTGGGCTGGGTGTATATATATATTCATGTAGGGCCTTGCCGCTGCGCTGAGCCTCCTCCTAGGCCATGGCTATGCCCTCGCCCACATCCCTAGCCACCCCACACGCTGCCAGCCCTGTTCCCGCACCTGCAGGTAGACACAGGAGAGGCGAAAGGAGGAGAAGCATTACTGAGGGAACATGAGAACATGCTGTGGATTGGGCCTTTCCGTTCGTGTGAGATTGCTAGGTGCTGAACGTGCTGCTAGACATGAGCTCACACCCTGGGTTCGAATGGGAGGAGCGTCTGAGGTAATCTATTGAGGGACGCGAGGAGTGAGGAGAGAGGAAAGAGCGAGAGGTGGCGGATGTGAGAGCGAGGGAAACGAGAGCAGGAGGTCAGTGGCTCAAGCACGTCTGTAGGGCTTGTGAGAGAGGCACGGAGAGAGGGACATAGTGAGACGTGGAACAAGGGGGGAGAGGGACAGTGGAGGAGAGGGACAAGAGGGGAGAGGGGGGTGAGGGACAAGGGGAAAAAAGGAATAGGGGAAAGCGAGAGACGAGGAGGGAGAGCGATAGGAGGGGGAATAGGGATAGGGGGGGGAAAGGGACAAGATGAGAAGAGGGACAAAGGGGAAAGAGGGACGAGGGGCAGAGAGGGACAGGCGAGGGAGAGGGACAAAGGGGGAGAGGGACAAAAGGGGGAGAGGGACAAAAGGGGAAAGGGACAAAAGGGGAGAGGGACAAAAGGGGAGAGGGACAGGCGGGGGAGTGGAACAGGGGAGGGAGAGGGGGTGGCGGTTCCAGTGAGGCGGACTGACCCATGGGGTGGACTGACTGACCCATGGGGTGGACTGACTGACCCATGGAGGAGATCTCATCGAGCGCGTAGGAGTGCACCACCAGCGCTCTGCAGATGCCCAGGCGCACGAGGTCATGAGGTCCACCTGGTTGGTCCAGACAGGTGCAGAGGGATGCAGAGAAGTGCATGTTCAAGCCACACACATGGTGTGTGTCGCATCATGGTGTGTGTCGCATTATGGTGTGTGTCGCATCATGGTGTGTGTCGCATCATGGTGTGCGTCGCATCATGGTGTGCGTCGCATGGTGTGCGGACGATAGTGTGAGTCACATCTCCCACTCACCCCCTGCCGCCACTACTTCGCGGAGAGAGAGGGATTGGAGAGGAAGGGGGGAAAGCACTCGAACAAGCCTGTGGGTTGCTTTTCTCATTCATAGGGTGCCGACACTCGTCAGCACACAAACACGGACCCCAAACCTTGTGGTCCCTGTGTGCGGAAGTCGCGTGCACCTCTGTTCTGCCACACCCACACGCATTGCCAAATCGAAGCCCACACCCCACACACAGAGCGAGTATGGACGCCCGTGCTCATGTTGACAGTGCCATCCCCCCCGCCTTGCCACCCACATCCCCGCCCTCATCATCCCCCACCCCCCGCCCTCATCATCCCCCACCCCCCGCCCTCATCATCCCCCACTCCCCTGCCCTTATCATCCCCCACCCCCATGCCCTCATCATCCCCCACCCTCATGCCCTCATCATCCCCCACCCCCATGCCCTCATCATCCCCCACCCCCTCGCCCACAACATCCCCCACCCCCCTGTCCTCATTATCACCAACCCCCTGCCCGCATTATTCCCCCACACCTGTCCTCATGCTCACAAACGCGTCGTGGGGGGTTCGACCCTACGTGCAACCCCCATGCCCATTCGGATTCTCGTCAGTGTAGGAAAATGCATGTTATGAGGAAACAGAAAAAAAAAAAAATATATATATATATATATATATATATATATATATTATGTAACAACATGCTTCGAGTCAGTACGCTTTCATTGTCGAGAGCGCAACGAGGCTCGAAAGGCCGTGTCGATCCCACGTCGGCGCGATCCGTGTCTCGAACGCGATAGGTCGGAGGCTTTCGCCTAACCTTAGATCCGCTGGATGACGTGGCCACCCTTCCAATAGCGCCACGTTGTCGTTTTTGAAAGACTCGCTCCTACTGCTAGTAGCAGCTGCGGGTCGCTTCACTGGTACTGAATGGGAGAAGGTGTCCTACTAAGGAGCGACTCGGTGGGAGAAGCGTGGTGAACGGGGGACGTCTTTACCATCATAAAAAAAATCATCCGCTGAAGCATAATCTCTAAATCGCAAGAAGAGAAGTCGAGGGAGATGCTAAGTGTAAGGAATTTTCCCGAATTCCTTATCGGGGTTGACTGCTTCGCGTACAACCCGATTTTCGGAGTTTGCACGTTCGGCCGATTTCAACGCTGCCGAGGCTCCTCGCGTCGCCTTCGGCATTTCCATCGCCGAACTTGCACCCAACCTCGCCACCCGAGGTTTCCTCCTGGTTAGGCTAGTCTTATAATAGTCTGTGCATTCGTTGTATTCTCATATTCATTCAGTCACAGCCTCGTTATTCGTTTACTTGCGCACTCTCCTTTACAACTCATAACACCTGGTATCAGAGCTACTTTCCTAGTTCACCCCGCTTTTCCGAGGGTAGTTTGGTGGCGTAGGGTGTGGCTGGTTTAGTGACTACACGACGGTTGGCTGCAGGGATTGTTAATTCAATCCTGCCCGACTCCGATAGTTCGTGTTTTCATTTGCCTGAAGGCCACGGAGACCCGATTGCCCACCAGACGTAGCGTTAGGCACATGTATCAGGAGGCAGTGAACAGGATGATGGCGCAAGTGGCAAAAATGCAGGAAAGCATGAAGTCGTTAATGGCGGAAGTGACGACACTGCGAGAGGAAAACGCCGAGCTACGCCAGACGCGAGGTGAAGCGCGTCAAGAGTCGCCTGTGGACGAAGGCGAGGGCAACAGTCAGGCGATGAGCAATCCATTGGATGCGCTCACACGTGACTTCGAAGAGGAAGACAGGCAGCGAGCGGCAGCAGCACCAGTTGCAGTGACGACGATCAAAATCAAGCCCGTCAACCCACCTCCGTTTAATCCTACGGACAAAACGGTTACGGTAAAAGGGTGGCTGTTCGGGGTCGAAGTCTTTTTTACTGCAGCCGGAGTTAATGACGATGCCACGCGTATTAATTACGCAGTCTCACTTCTTCGAGGTGCAGCGCTTGAGTGGTGGCGCCGAACCTTGGAAACAGGAAGGCCGACAGGTGTGACACATGCGGCAGACGGGACCTCAACAGTGACTAATCAAGTGGCAACATCAATCTTCGGAGTGACCACGATACGCACATGGAAGGAGTGGGGCGCAGCCTTACGAGGTCGCTTCGAGCACGTATCCGCCTCGGAGCAAGTTCGCATGAAGCTGCGTGCATGGTCGCAGATGGCTTCTGTCCAAGACTACACGGCGTCATTTATGAGCCTCGCCGACCAGGTTGATGACATGTCGGAAGCTGAGCGGCTGGATAAATATATCAGCGGCCTCAAATACGAGATACAGTACGAGGTTCGCAGGGACCGTCCGACGTCATTCCTTGCAGCTGTACAGTTGGCGGAATCCACGGATGCGCTGATGCAGTACGCGAGAGCAGCTTCCCGGGAGGGAAACCGTTTTCGTGGCCAGACCCATCGGACCACGATCAACGCCGTCCATACACACGACCGCCCTCCCCCATCGGACCACGATCAACGCCGTCCATACACCCGACCGCCCTCCTAAGGGACCGTGTTACCGGTGTGGGAAGACGGGTCACTACATGAAAGACTGCCACGAGAAAACGCCGCTGACGGGGAACGACAGGAAGGAGCAGGGAAATGGGAAGAGTCAGTAAGTAGCGGGCCCGTTACTGACTGTGCTCCGTCGCCCGAACCCCACCATCCCCACCGAGTCGTGGTTCCGATTCATGCAATCGATCGCACTCGGCCGAATAACGGGGATTATCACGTGGATCACCCTGTGCTGGTCGCTGGCAAGGTGTTAAAAAATCATCTGAAAATGTTCGTCGATGGGGGGGCCAGCCATAGCCTCTTCAATCTGGCGAGCGCAAAAAAATGCAAGCTACAACTTGACAGGTGTCTGCCCGAAATCGATGCTCGCCTCGTGGATGGGACGCCTCTGGCGATAACGGAAGAAACTCGGACGGTCAGGATCGAATGCGGCGACGATTTCAGCTTCAGCATGAAGTTCCTCACGACAACGCTGGACGGCTCCGACGTACTACTGAGACGCGATTGGCTGCGACGGCACAACCCCGTCATCGATTGGACAACGGGAACGTGCAGCATCAACAAGCACGAGGGGCTAATTAAGCTGCCTGCATGGACACCTGACTACATCCAAGCCCCGTGCGTCAAAGCCATCACTATAGCTCGACACTTCAACAGGGGCGCGTAGCTGTTCGTCGTTTGTTTACGCGAGTTGGCAGTCGACACCGATGGAAAAGACATAGAGAAGCTGTGTGCACCTGTACCACCGGACTTAGCGGAGCTGATTCGGAGGTACCCGGAAATCTTCCCCCACGATCTGCCACCTGGACTGCAACCGGAGAGACCTGAGGACCACAAAATCCAGCTGGAACCTGGAGCGCAACCAACCGTTCGAACACAATGGCGGTTGACCCAGCCGGAACTCGAGGAGCTACGACGACAAATCGACGCACTGTTGGAGAAAGGGTTCATTCGGGCCAGCACATCTCCCTTTGCGGCACCGATTCTGTTCACTCCGAAAAAAGACGGCGGGCTTCGCATGTGTATCGACTATTGTGCGCTGAACAGGGTCACCATCAAGTCTCGCTACCCAATCCCACGCACCGACGACCTACTCGATCAACTTCGTGGCGCTCGCTATTTCTCGAAGATTGACTTACGTGGCGGTTACCATCAAATACGAGTCTTCGCCGACGATTGTCACAAAACGGCGTTTCGCACACGCTACGGGAGTTACGAATTTACACTGATTCCTTTCGGCCTCACGAACGCGCCTTCGACTTTCCAATTGACCATGAACAGAGTTTTTCGGGACCTGCTAGACCGATGCGTCATCGTCTACTTGGACGATATCCACATCTTTAGCAGGTCAAGAGAGCAGCACCTCCGCGACCTGGACGCAGTGTTTAAGCGGCTGCAGGAGAACCGACTCATCACCAAGGGCTCTAAGTGCGAGTTTTTTAAGCAAGAGTTGGAGTTTTTGGGGCACGTCATATCGCGCGACGGCATTAAAATCGACCCGGCGAAAATCAAGACCATACAGGAGTGGAAGTCCCCGACGAACATCACGGAACTCCAGAGTTTCCTCGGGTTCGTAAATTACGTCAGGAGATTTATCCTGAATATGGCGGGGATAACCGGACCGATGACCGACCTGCTGCACAAGGACAGGAATTTTGTGTGGGGGGAGGAGGCAGAAGCGGCCTTCCGGGAACTCAAGAATTTTCTCGTGTCCCCTCCTGTACTGCGCATCGCCGACCCATCGAAGCCGTTTGAAGTTGTAACCGACGCCTCAGATTTCGCCATCGGAGCTGTACTTCTCCAAGATTTCGGGAACGGGTTGCAGCCGATAGCCTACGAATCAAGGAAGCTGCAAGCAGCCAAACGCAACTACCCAATCCACGACAAGGAGATGCTCGCCATTATACACGCATTTAAACTATGGCGATGCTACCTGGTGGGCGCCGACGTCACTGTTCGCACAGACCATAAGTCCCTACAGTACCTGCGAGCCCAACCCAACCTCAACCCACGACAGATTCGATGGCTCGACTACATGGAGAGCCATTTCACCTACCGCATCACGTACAAGAAAGGGGCGAATAACATCGCCGACGCCCTGACCCGACCGACAGTACAATCCGCTGCAGTACTCATCACCCATTCGAACCCGCTACTTACAGGACTATTCACCCATGGCTACTCGACGGACCCATTCTTCACGACCGGGAATCATCAGCAGGCCACGACGCAGAAAGGAGATTATTACCTAAAAGCCAGAGCCGACCGGATTTGGGTTCCCGCTTACGGGCTGCTGCGTGAACTTCTCATCCAGGAGGTCCACGATTCGAATTTCTCCGGACACTTCGGGGTTGATAAAACCCAGAAATTACTGCACCGTCGATATTATTGGCCTGACTCCTCTAACGACGTGCAGCGATATGTGTCCTCATGCAGGGTGTGCCAAGCCATGAAATCGACACGTCAACGACCAGCTGGGCTGCTGCAACCCCTCGACCCACCCGAACGACCGTGGCAGCAAGTGACGATGGATTTCGTTACGAGGATGCCAGCTGGGCCGTCCGGCAACGACGCTGTTCTCGTCGGCGTCGATCGCTTCACGAAAATGGCGCACTTCGCACCATGCCGAACGACAATCACAGCCGAAGAAACAGCGCGACTTTTCATCTTGACGGTCGTGCGACTACACGGCATCCCTTCGGCGATCATCAGCGACCGCGACCCAAAATTCACATCCAAAATCTGGAAAGAGACATGGACACAGTCCGGCACGAAGCTACAGTTTTCAACGGCATACCACCCCCAGACCGATGGCCAAACCGAGCGGACCAACCAGACCATGGAGCAGTTAATCAGGACAAACTGCCCCGACCCCGCCCGCTGGGAAGACTCTCTCGCGATGTTGGAGTTCGCTTTCAACAACGCACCATCAAGCACTACTAATCACTCCCCGTTTTTCCTGAATTACGGGTTGGACCGGACGGTTCCCACCGCGACTACTCTCGACAACCCGGTCCCACGATCACAAACTTTTGTGACGGAACTCCAGGAAACTCGAGAAAAAGCTACCGACGCAATTCGCAAGGCGAATATCACCTCCCGCAAATACGCAGACCTTCTACGCCGGGAACTCGTCTTGACCACTAAGCAACTAGTGCTACTTGACACGAAGAACCTGCACTTGCCCGGCCCGTCGAAGCTACGGCCACGATTTTGCGGGCCGTTCAAGATTATCAAGATGGTAACACCTGTCACCGCGAAGCTGTTGCTACCAGACGACTGGCGAATTCATGACGCCTTCCACGTCAGCCTTCTTCGCAAGTTCGTGCCAGCAACGACAGGCATCGCACGTCAACAGGCTGCCCCAACAGCACGACCTGTTCCGGAGCCGACACTCGACCCTTCGAAAATCCTGGCTCATCGGGTTCGCCTTGACGCGGCTGGCCGACACGTGGATTTCCTGATTTGCTGGACTGATCGCACAAGTGAGGATGACACGTGGGTGCCTTCCGCCTCGCTCGACGCCTCGCCACTTGTTGGTGATTACTTGACGCGCCGGCGTGTTGCAGACATTGACCGCCTTTCTAAGAGGGGGGGGTAGTGTAAGGAATTTTCCTGAATTCCTTATCGGGGTTGACTGCTTCGCGTACAACCCGATTTTCGGAGTTTGTACGTTCGGCCAATTTCAACGCTGCCGAGGCTCCTCGCGTCGCCTTCGGCATTTCCATCGCCGAACTTGCACCCAACCTCGCCACCCGAGGTTTCCTCCTGGTTAGGCCAGTCCTATAATAGTCTGTGCATTCGTTGTATTCTCAGATTCATTCAGTCACAGCCTCGTTATTCCTTTACCTGCGCACTCTCCTTTACAACTCATAACACTAAGATAACTAATCTTGCAATGTTACACCCAAGCAACAAGGTTGCCACCAAACCAAACCCTAAAACGAGCTTCGTAGAGTTAGACAGAGTAGGGAAACGCGCCTCGTAATATGTTCTCGCTGCATTTATCTGCTGAAAAGAGTGGGATTGCGAAATGCTAAAACAGCGAGGAGCACAAACCAAATCTTTGTGTAACCACCCGCGAAACGCTTCGGTGTGGTTCGTCAAATGAGCTGAGTTACCAGCCACGACCCTGAAGGCCAGCAAATACAATAATCGTGAAGCCTCTCGCCCCGCCTAGAATTCCGCCTAGTCCCTCTGCCTCGAGAATTCTAGACAATTATTCCCGGCTCACTGTACCCGAAACTGATTCAACGACATTGCTTTCCTTGGAGCATATCCCCGAGAATGACGGAACGGAATGACGCCGCTCCCCAAAACAATTATCGTAGAGGCTATCGCCTTCGCGAAAGAACTACAGTCGTTTTCGTCGGCATCGCAAAGCAGTCAGTCTGCGACGAGGACAAAATTATTGTTATTCTGAAGCAGAAGGGAGGACATCCATGCGGCCGACTCGTGCCGAGCAGTTCCAAGTTCCGATTCTCCCCGACTGACGCAACCATATAAATTTCTTCCTCCACTAAATCATCATATCGATTATTGCCCCCAGTGCCCAGTGCGTCCGATATTAGAGCCCGAGGTGTCTTCACATCAGCAAGCTCCCGCAAGCTCTCAACGGATCTTTCCCTTTGCTCCTTTTCCTCGATGGCTCGAGTTTCCAAGGTCGGCGTCTTACTGTGTGTGGTAATCGTTCTGCTTGCTCTCGCCCTCGCCCCTGCCGATGCCATGTACGCCACGTCCGCTGATCTGAACCGCGAGGGCACGTGCTACCGCGGCCAATTCAACTACGGCGAGAGTTCGGATTTCGACTACGGCATGGTAGCGCAGGTGCCTTTGGGCGATTTCAACAGCGGAAAGGGCTGCGGAAGGTGCTATGAAGTCTCCTGCATGAACCACCCGAGCTGCTTGGAGGGCAGCGTGCTGGTGCGAGCGGTCGGCCAAAACGGCGACTTCAACCTCAACTTCGCCGCGTGGGACAGAATCGTCGGCGACCGGGCCGCGGGGCGCGTGGAGATCGATTACCGCAGCGTGGACTGCCCTAGCAACGGCGGCCTGAAGGTCAGATTGGTCGACGATAGCAACTCGTACAACTTCGCGCTTCAGATTCTCGGCGCGGCGGGGAGCGGAGGCGTGGAGAACGTGGAGCTGTCGAACGACGGGTCGCAGTGGACGAGCATGACGACGTACGGATGGGGCGCCACGTGGGTGCTCAATCCCGCCAAGGACGTCGTCGATGCGGGGCGCCCCGTGAGCGTGCGCGTGACCGGCAGCGGGCAGCAGGTGGTGTTGCAAGACGTGATTCCGAGCGGATGGAGCGCCGGGACGACCTACGAGAGTGGCACCAACTTCTAGGCCAAGTCGTTGCGAGATGGGTATATGGGTTCAACGGTTGCTGCTGATAACGTGACGAACTGTAACGAGGTGGTGCGGCGCACGCCAATGCGTGCAAATAATGCAGCCACAAGGGCATCGTGGTGTGCAGGCAGTGAATAAAAACCCAGCCAGCTTTTCGGGGTGGATGGGTTGAGGCTTTATCAGCCCTATAGGGTGATCCGATGAGATGGTAGCTGTTCCACTGTCATCCTTTTCAAATTTCAGTCAAATAAGATTGGTACACTACACGCACCCGAAACACGTCATAAAAAAATTAACATCTTCAGGTGTGCCAAGAAAACTAGAGGCCCTTAACTTTAATAGCGTTATCTTTCACTATGCAAAACTGCATGTTTGTTGTGAAAACGAGTGACGTTTATTGATCTGCTTTCTACATTTGAAATGTCTGCAAATGCCAAGACCTGCTTGGAGACACCTATTGAGGGGCTTTGGTCATTGAAAATGAACAACACTCTCCTCCATTCCAGTCTCTTCCCAACTCTCCTTCCTCCTCCCTTATGTACTTGCAGGCAACTTTCTGCTTTTCCCTTTACGGCACTAACTACCATGTTGATTGCCTTCAATACGAGCCAGCTCCAAGCTGAAGTCGACCTGCTCGGAGCTCTCGATCTCGTGGTCAATCCTAACAGCCATGCGGTCCTCGTCCTCCCCGAAGAACTCCTCCTTGAGCAGCAGCAGCTCTGCCAGCACACGGCTCATGCCCGGGCGAGACGCCGTGGGCATGGCGGTGCAGGTGAGCGCCAGGCGTGCCATGCGCAGCACCAGGTCGTCCGGTGCTTGCAGGTGTGGGTCTTTGAGGGCCGCCACGTCCCCTGCTGCCACTAGGGCTGCTGCCTGTGAGTGGATCAATCGGGGGAAGTAAGGGAGCAGGGGAGGGAAGAGGCAGAGGAGAGGAAGGGAGAGTGAGGATTTTTGGCAAGAAAGAATGGATGTGCAAACAGACGTCATGAAAAGGAGGATAGGTATTCGAGAAGAGGCAATGGGTTTTGGTGTGAGACAGACCCACTGCTTGAGGTTGACTTGGTTTGACTCGATGTTGTAGATGGCCTTGCGAGCCGTGATCACCGCCAGCATCACCACTCCAAAGCTGCAGACATGAGGGGGGCAGAAAGGGAGCAAGGGAGGAAGGAAAGGCAGGCAACAAGGTAAGAGAGCAAGGCAGGCAACAAGGTAAGATAGCAAGGCAGGCAACAAGGTAAGAGAGCAAGGCAGGCAACAAGGCAAGAGAGCAACACAGGCAACAAGGCAAGAGAGCAAGGCAGGCAACAAGGTACGAGAGCAAGGCAGGCAACAAGGTACGAGAGCAAGGCAGGCAACAAGGTAAGAGAGCAAGGCAGGCAACAAGTTAAGAGAGCAAGGCAGGCAACAAGGTAAGAGAGCAAGGCAGGCAACAAGGTAAGAGAGCAAGGCAGGCAACAAGGTAAGAGAGCAAGGCAGGCAAAAAGGTAAGAGCGCAAGGATGGCAGCAGGGAAGGGAAGAAGAATGTCAGAGTAGCAAGATTCAGGCTGGTGTTGGTATGGGAGCATTTTCAAAAAGCCATGCATGAAAACTAGTGCACGTGAGTAACATATCACCCGCACCTGTGCACGTCGGCCTTGGGAGTGGCCTTGTGGGAGCGGTAGTAAGCGGGGTCCACATAGCCCGGCGTGCCCATGACTCGGGTAGCGGCCACAGATGTACCTTCCCCAAGTCGCACCAGCCCAAAGTCAGCGAGCTTGGCGTGCATGCGCGCGTCCAGCAGCACGTTGGCAGGCTTGATGTCGCGATGCACGATGCTGAAGCCGTGCAGATACTCCAGCCCCCGCGCCATGCCCGTCAGGATGCCCAGCCGCTGCTGCATCGTGAGCGGGTGGGGTGCGTCTGGGAGGAGAATGCATGGCAGTTGGGAGTTGGGCAGCTGGGTGTGCTTATGAATGGAACAAGAGTCTCGAGGTTTATAGAATGCATTGGATCCCTCTGGGTTGATAGAACGGATTGCAATGAGTTGCATGATTGTCCAGAGCTGGTAAAGGAACATGCTGTAGAGAGTATGGCGGTAACAAGAGGTTTGACAAGAACAACACAGGCACGGCTGGATGCTCTCATGCGGTGAGACACTACTTTGAGCCTCCCCCCCCTTCCCCCTTCCCTCTCCTCCCTCCCCCTCCTTTTCCCCCTTTTGTTTTGTCTTTTTCGGTGTGTCGACTAGAAAAGTCACAACATACTCTTTCTAGTCTGTAAACTCGTACGTGATGCAAGTCACCTGCCTCGTACGTGACGCAAGTCACCTGCCTCGTACGTGACGCAAGTCACCTGCCTCGTACGTGATGCAAGTCACCTGCCTCGTACGTGACGCAAGTCACCTGCCTCGTACGTGACGCAAGTCACCTGCCTCGTACGTGACGCAAGTCACCTGCCTCGTACGTGACGCAAGTCACCTGCCTCGTACGTGACGCAAGTCACCTGCCTCGTACGTGACGCAAGTCACCTGCCTCGTACGTGACGCAAGTCACCTGCCTCGTACGTGATGCAAGTCACCTGCCTCGTACGTGACGCAAGTCACCTGCCTCGTACGTGACGCAAGTCATCTGCCTCGTGCGTGACGCAAGTCACCTGCCTCGTACGTGACGCAAGTCACCTGCCTCGTACGTGACGCAAGTCACCTGCCTCGTACGTGACGCAAGTCACCTGCCTCGTACGTGACGCAAGTCACCTGCCTCGTACGTGACGCAAGTCACCTGCCTCGTACGTGACGCAAGTCACCTGCCTCGTACGTGATGCAAGTCACCTGCCTCGTACGTGATGCAAGTCACCTGCCTCGTACGTGACGCAAGTCACCTGCCTCGTACGTGATGCAAGTCACCTGCCTCGTACGTGACGCAAGTCACCTGCCTCGTACGTGAGTCACCTGCCTCGTACGTGACGCAAGTCACCTGCCTCGTACGTGACGCAAGTCATCTGCCTCGTGCGTGACGCAAGTCACCTGCCTCGTACGTGACGCAAGTCACCTGCCTCGTACGTGACGCAAGTCACCTGCCTCGTACGTGATGCAAGTCACCTGCCTCGTACGTGATGCAAGTCACCTGCCTCGTACGTGATGCAAGTCACCTGCCTCGTACGTGATGCAAGTCACCTGCCTCGTACGTGACGCAAGTCACCTGCCTCGTACGTGACGCAAGTCACCTGCCTCGTACGTGACGCAAGTCACCTGCCTCGTACGTGACGCAAGTCACCTGCCTCGTACGTGATGCAAGTCACCTGCCTTGTGCAACACAGCAAACCGCCTTGGCTCACCAGCTCCGATCCAGCGGTCGAGGTCGCCATTGGCCATGAACTCATAGACCACGATCTGCTCCATGCGCTCCGCCTCGTAGCTCATGTCAAAGCAGTACCCCAGCAGCCTCACCAGGTTTGGGTGGCTCTTGGTCGCCATCTCGTTGATCTGCAGGGCAGTGGGGGGAGGAACGGAGGAAGTAGGGCATGTGAAAACAGGCTAGTTTCTGAGAGCAAGCAGGTTGGGAGGAAGTTGGTTGAAAGGAAGTGAGCTGGGGGGAAGCAGGTTGGGAGGAAGTTGGCTGAAAGGAAGAAAGGAGGTTGGGGAACAGCATGGGGAAACTGGTTGGACTGAAGGAAGACAGAAGACACCCTACGGACAACATTTTCCAACAATCACCACTCCCACAGAAGACACCCTACGGACAACATTTTCCAACAATCACCACTCCCACAGAAGACACCCTACGGACAACATTTTCCAACAATCACCACTCCCACAGACGACACCCTACGGACAACATTTTCCAACAATCACCACTCCCACAGAAGACACCCTACGGACAACATTTTCCAACAATCACCACTCCCACAGAAGACACCCTACGGACAACATTTTCCAACAATCACCACTCCCACAGAAGACACCCTACGGACAACATTTTCCAACAATCACCACTCCCACAGAAGGCACCCTACGGACAACATTTTCCAACAATCACCACTCCCACAGAAGACACCCTACTGACAGCGTTCGCCAACAACACACCACTCACACCCAGTAACACGGTGTGGATACTTTTGAAACTACCAAGCGATTACAGAACATGACAGGGAGTCTCACCACCACCTGCTGTGTCTCACCTCGCGTCGGAAGTCGTTGGTGAGCACGCGGGCTCGCTTCACAGCCCACACCTCCTTGGGGTTCCGCGGATTCACCCCCCTGTACACATCGCCAAAGCTGCCGCTGCCTATGCGGTTGCTCTCTGCCCACCCCCCCGTGGCCCAAGCCATCTCCTCAAGGGAGAATCGTTGGCACACGTCTGGCCCAGCACCCGCTGCAGCACGCAGCAACGGCTGCGCTGCTGGCTCTGCTGGTGCTGCTGCCACTGCCACTGCGGCAGCTGCAGCCGCAGCAGCTGCAGCGGCTGCTTCTTCTGCTGCAAGTACTGCTACTGGTGTTTCTGATTCCCGTGTTTGGGACGATGATTTGCTTGAATCACTCCCGACTACTTTCTGAGCCATCTCTGATGCTGCAGCTGCTTTTGCAGCTGCTTTTGCTGCTGCTGCTTCTTCTAGCGCTGCCATGGATGATGCAGAGGGTATGTCAACAACCACCTGCCCTGGGACCATTCCAGCTCCTGCTGCTGCCGCTGTTGGCAGTGCTGCTGCTGGTGCTTCTGCTGCTGCTGCCCCTGCTGATGTTGCTGTTGCTGCTGCTGCCGTCGCTGGTGGTGCTGATGGTGCCGATGGTGCCGCTGCCGCTGCAGTTGCCGCTTGCGGTGCTGCTGTGTTTCCATCAGATGCTCCACTTAACCCTCTAGGTACCTCTGCTGTGGATACTGACGTGATTTGTTTTGGATGCGGCTTGACCGGTGGTGGTGTGACACTTGGCAGATTATACTCCTTGGATGATGGTGTAAGCTTGGAGGGTGGTGTAAACTTGGGGGGTTTCCCTGAAGAACCTACAGGCATCGGCCCGGGAACCAAGTGGCCTCCCTTGCTTGTACGATCGAATATTTCCACCAACCCAGCCCATATGTGCTTTTTAGCTTTGGAAAAATGGGCCAGCATACGCAGCAGCAAAAGGGCACCAACTATAATCCCGGCCACAATCGCCACGACACTATTTACATCCATTGGGAAACACTTGCGATCAGCAGACCTTCTGTGAGGTATGGAAACCCCTGCCTCAAGAAACCCCTGCCTCAAGAAACCCCTGCCTCAAGAAACCCCTGCCTCAAGAAACCCCTGCCTCAAGAAACCCCTGACTCAAGAAACCCCTGCCTCAAGAAACCCCTGACTCAAGAAACCCCTGCCTCAAGAAACCCCTGCCTCAAGAAACCCCTGCCTCAAGAAACCCCTGCCTCAAGAAACCCCTGCCTCAAGAAATCCCTGCCTCAAGAAACCCCTGCCTCAAGAAAACCCTGCCTCAAGAAAACCCTGCCTCAAGAAAACCCTGCCTCAAGAAAACCCTGCCTCAAGAAAACCCTGCCTCAAGAAAACCCTGCCTCAAGAAAACCCCTGCTCCAAGACCCTTGCCTTTGCATGGATGGTTTGAAGCCCGTACACTCTGGCTGAATGGAAGCCAATGGATGATAATATCCTCCGCGCAAAAAGCTTTTGTCCTCAAGGGTGCTGTGTGCTCCGCGCGTACCGAGGCGAATGAGTAGAGGGTAATGGGGCGTGTCTGTTGATTGAATAGGTGATTTGAGGGCAACATGGAAGGAGGAGGCCAGGGATGGAGGGATTGGGGGAGGGGGAGAGAACGAAAGAGGGTGAACGAAATGAGAAGTTGCATCTCTCTCTATAGGATTTATGCAAGATTTATGCACCAATCAGCACTTCGAAATTTTCTTCATTCGGAAGAGGGATGTAAATCCTCATCCTCAGGTCTACTATGCACACTTGCCAGTGGCATTCCAGTTGATTTAGGAGAGAACAAAGTAAAACCAACAAACCGAATAGCGACCAGAATTTGTTCGCAGCGCGAACCTAACATAATTGTCCATTGGATATGGTGCAGATGGTGCCTACCTTAATTTTGTAGTACTCTCAGACGATGAATCAATCAGAGGTGACGCGTAAACTTAGATGCACATAAAAAGGCTCCAGGTACTTTCCGGCTACTCAAGATAAGCGACCAATTGATGAAAAATAACTAGCGTGTAGAGCGCTCGTCAGAAATCTGGTCTGAATGCCTGAGAACTATCAGAGGGAGCAGGAAATAACACAAGCTGAGGGACAAAAAAACGTCAAAGAATGGAGACAAGTTGGCCCAAGTTTGTTGGGCAAGGAAGCAGGGGAGTGAGCAAATGACCACATTGCTGCGAAAGAACTGGCGAAATGGTGACAGCCATTACGCGGACGGAAAATTGCAGGGAACGACACTAGGAAGTCAGTTACCATGCAAATGGGTTCGTGAATCTTTGTGATTCGGTGGTGATGACAGCGCGGTAGGGTTGGTCGGTGAGGCAATGCTTGTGGGAGGCTACCGATGGCGAGAATTGGTGATTGAACAAGATAGACATTGATGAGCTGGCATGCCGATGACGATGCCGAAAAGCAGTTGACGAGCTTGAAGGTGAGAGTGCAGCGACCTGAATTGACTGAAATAATCAACACTTTTCTCGCTCGAACAAGAGGATGTGTATAGAGAAAACGTGTTTGATGACATTTGAGTTGTGTTACCAGCTGCGAATTCCGGGTGTGTTGTGTGTCGTCAACAGCGATAGTTACCAGGATCTGAAGATCGCCGCTTATTGTGTAGTGTTACCATCGATATTTTCGCCGGTCTGACGAACAAATTCAAGAAACCTCGACGTCGCAAGGCTACAATAATTGTAGAGCCGCTCGCTCACCTGCGAAATTGCTCCTAGCAAATCCCTGGCACGATGGAAAGATGGTCTTCTTGTGACAATCATCGTCGAGCCAATCGTCTTCCCCTACTTCCACTCACGAACTGAGTTACAAACATACTCGTCGCATCGCCAAGCACTTAGTTCGTGAAAGGAACACAATTATTGCCTTTCTCTAATGCACTTTTGAGGGGAGGAGATTCACAAGAGCGACTCGAAGCCGCTCTTCACTTCCAGCCCCTCGACTATATTTATCTCCCATGTCTTGTATCCCTATCATCATCGAAGGTCGACCACTGCCCCCCAAGCGTCCAGTGTTTACTAATCAAGCCAGCTTGCTTAGTTTTGCTTTGCAGATCCGGCTGTTTGTAGAAAGCTCTCATTGATTTCTTTCTCTCCGCTTCTTTTCTCCGATGGCTCTCTCTTCCAAGGTCGGCGGCCTGCTGTGCGTGGGAATCGTCCTGCTCGCTCTCGCCCTCTCACCTGCCGATGCCATCCAAGCAACACTTGGCGATCTGAACCGCGAGGGCACGTGCTACTGGGGCCAATTCAGCTACGCCGACAGTCCCTATTTCGACAAGGGCATGGTTGCGCAGGTGCCTGCGAGCAATTTCAACAGCGGCAAGGGCTGCGGAACGTGTTACCAAGTTACCTGCAAGAACAGCCCGAGCTGCACCAAGGGCAGCGTGATGGTTCGAGCGGTCGGCGTGAGCGGCATTTTCAACCTCAACTTTCCCGCGTGGGACAAAATCGTTAAGGACCGTAACGTGGGTAACGTGGAGATCGATTACCGCAGCGTGGACTGCCCTAGCAGCCGCACCATGGCGGTCAGAATCGAAAACAACAGCAACGTCTACAATTTCATCGTTCAGATTCTGGGCGCGGCGAAGAGCGGAGGAGTGGAGAAGGTTGAGATATCGAACGACGGGAAGCAGTGGAAGAGCATGACGAACAACGGATGGGGCGCCACGTGGACACTGAATCCCGCCAAGGACGTCGTGGACAAGGGGCGCAAGCTGAGCGTGCGCGTGACGGCGACGGGCGGCGGGCAGCAGGTGGTGCTGCAAGACGTGATTCCGAGCAAGTGGAGCAGCGGGAAGATCTACGAGAGCGGCACAAACTTCTAACGAGATGGGTTGCATCGAGGCGTGAAGAAGGTTGCGAGTAATGGGATGCACTGTAACGAGGTCGTGTGCTGCACGAGAGTGCTCCCTAATAATACAGCCACCGTGGCATGGTGGTGTGCAGCGTAGTGAATAAAAGCCCGGCCAGTGTCCGGATGGGCATGAGACGATGATATATGGTGATGAGATGATAGGAGCGGTGCTATGCAATGCCTATGCTAGATGTAGTTGCTCGTTCTGCTGTCCATGTTAGTACAACAAGAGTTTTGATAGATGAAGAGGATTCGTTTTATCATCAGCTGAATACACCTTCAGTAGTGGCAAGACAAGTAAAAGGCTCTAATGTACTAGAACCAGGCACAAGGGAGGACAATTAACTGCTGCAGCCTTCATTGCTGCCGCCTGGTGCTTACTGTTGGACTCAGTCCTCCCAGTGCTGTTCATGTCACCTCACCTCC